CCCCTGAGCATGATCTCCCCTGCAGGCCCCCCACAGATGTGCTCCTTGATGATTCTCTCCAAGATCTTCCCGAGCACTAAGGTGAGGCTTACAGGTTTATAGTTACTTGGGTCCTCCTTCCTCCCCTTCTTGAAAACTGGGACCACATTAGCCAGTTTCCAATCCCCTGGCACCTGGCCAGATGACCACGAATGCTCATACAGCCGGGCCAAGGGCTCTGCGATGACCCCTGCCATCTCCCACAACACCCTTGGGTGGAGGGCATCTGGACCTGCAGATTTAAAAATGTCTAGCTCTTCCAGAAGATCCCTAACTACATCTGTGCTGACTGAAGGCTTGATAGAGCTATCCCCAAGATTGTCCCTACCTCTGGTAGGTGGGATATCCCAGTTCCTGTTCAGGAAAACAGAGGCAAAGAAACTGTTAAAAATATCAGTTTTCTTGTCTGGCGTGGCCACCAGATTACCATTTGTGTCTTGCAGGGGCCCTACATTGCCTGGTGCCCTCTTCTTGCTTCCAATGTACTGACTTGTTGTTGTTCTTAATGCTGGATGCTAGCCTGAGCTCCATCTCTACCTTGGCCTTCCTAATAGCCCTCCTACACTCATGGGCTGAAGAGAAGTACTCCTCCTTGGTGACAGTTCCTCCCTTCCACTGGTTGTATGCCCCCCACTTTTAGTCCTCAGGCATTGCTGAATGTCCTTGCTGAGCCAAGGGAGTTTCTGAGCACTCTTATCCCCCTTGCATCTCTCAGGGACTGTCATCCTTTGAGCCCGGAGGATCGCCCCCTTAAGGTATGACCATCCCTCGTGGACTCCCATCTCCTCTACCTTCTGGGCCCTTAGTGCATCTTACTTTACGCTGTGTGATCTTGGATCAGGAGCAGATCATGCATGCATTTGCCAGTGCTAGGAGCTGCCCTGGGAATCCAATCTGGGTAAGTCAGGTTGGTGGAGAGTGGGACTGGGGGGCAGGGTTGGTGGAGGGTGGGCAGAATTGGGTCTGCAGGGAGGGGGTTGTCTGTCCAGGGATGGTGAGGGGAGGGTTGAAGGGTTAAAAATAGCCCAAATCAGGGTGATGGGGTGGGTAGAAAGAGCTGGGGCTGGGGCAAGTGGCAGGATTTTCCCAGCCCTGGGGCTGCATTCTGAATATGTTCATACTTTTGGTAGATTGGGCTAACTTGTTTCAGATTTAATTTAGTTCACCTTCTCAGGTGAACTAATTTAGATTGGGGCAGCCATTTTTCCCCCCGATCTAACCTCCCCAAATGTCTGTCTAGATTAGCATTTAGATCAATCTAACCCTAGTTAGGTAGATCTAAGTGTAACTTCTGCATGTACCCTATGTGTCCAAATAAATGTTAATCAACATTTTATTTAGATTTCATATCAAGAGTCTGTGGGGAAAAAAGCCCCTAAACAAAACACAACCTTGTTTTCTTTTAAATGTGCTGTTCCTTTTGCATTGCATAGATCTGATGGCCGTCAGTAGTTTTATGTTAGCGTTAAAGATTTCTTTATGAGAAATACCTGTAAAATACCTTATTTTTGCTTAAAAGCAGCATGTTTTTGATGATAATATATGGATATCTGATTAATAAAGAAATGCCAATTAGGAAAATTCTGGTTACTATGTTACTGGAAATCTTTACTGGTGTTGATAGCAACGACAAGTCATGTAATGACAGGAAGATTACCTTTTTTAAAGCAGATATATTACAACCAGAAAATTAGATAATTTGATCATACAGTTAAAAGCATTTGTCTGAAATAGAGATTTTCATTATCTTTCAGTTTACACTGGCTCAGAAACAATGGCCTAGTTTAAAATGCTCCATACTCAGCTGCTAATTCTATGAGCTATCTAATCCCAGTAAATGATATTGTAAAAGTAAAAGATTTATTAAAGTAAACCATAGTTGCAGTTGCAAAATTTATGGATGATAAAACCAAGAAAATATTCTATCATTGTAGCCAGCCATGCCACAAAATCTTGGCGTAGCCCCTAAGGTGCTTGGAAACATCCATAATAAACATGATGCCAGGGAAGAGCAGAATGTCATGATATAAAATTTACTAGAAAAAATTCCTATTATTTTCTTTGTGGCAAAGCATACAAAGTCAGGTCTTGATGTAATTTTCTAGCAGATAGAAGCAGCTGTTATTACAGCATTATAATTTTTTTTTTTAATTTCTAGAAAATTTGCCCCTGAGCAGAAGTGTTGAAAAGTCTCTTCCCCTCTTGTATCTCCCCTACCAAAAAAATTCTGTTCAAACTGGTTTGCACTCTAGCTACCAATATCTTTAACAGCTTAGAACATATAGTAACATTGCAATTTAACATTCCAGTAGAAAATCAAATCATTATTTTGAATTGCAAATTCATGCCTGTAGATACTATTGTCTAAATTAAGTGTCTTTTGTTTACCAAGACTAATGAAGTGTAACAAAGCTAAATTCAATGCATAACAACTTAATTATGTCTCAGAGGTAAATGTTCTGCACTGTTTCAGTCAGAAAGTATATTTCTTTGCACTGACAAAAAACAGTCCACCAATGCTGAACATTCCCCACTGAAGCATTTCAGGGTAATATATATTGAGATTTTGATAAAGTAAGTAAATGTAATGAAGTTAAATCAAAATAAAAAAAAGAAACTGAAACAGTGTTTTGGGAAAAATATGTTTACAAACAAGTTAGTGCCACAGAAACCTCCCTTTTAAGTTACTTTAAAACATTGGTCTAGATTTTACTTCATTGACTTTAGTGGTATTACAGTGATGTTAAATCAAGTTCAAGTGTCAGCCACCTCTGTCTAATCTCTGTCTCTGCAGATATGTTAAAAAAAAGTTGTGTTTTACCTTGAATACTAAGTAACTGCATCATGGGTCAACCAATCTAAAATGGCTACTTTCCACTAAGAGAAAGCCTGGTTGTTTATTTTCATATACCACCTCTTGCTTAAAGAGTTAGCTGATTATTTTCCTCATGTTTTAGGAGGAATTACTGCTTAGGGGCCAGCAACCTTTTGCTGCCACTTTTGACCTATCCCCTTGCTGTAGACCACAAATCTCTACTCCTTGGAGTACCCTAGCCATCTGCAGCTACTCTTGCTACCCAGTCCCATCCTCGGCAGCAACAGAGAGGGACACATTCTGCAGTGAGTGTAAGCACAGGTGTGAGACAGCAGCAGAGAAGGCTATGGAAAGGAGGCAGTGAGGAGAAGAATGGCAGCACAATGTAGCTGCATGCCTCTGACCCCCCTGTACCACCATGGGTCAGATCAGACCTTGGTAAGCCACATCCAACCTGTTTGCAGGCTGGATCTAGGTTGTAGGTTGCCAATCTCTGCATTAATTACAGGAATTCCTTGTGGACCTTCTGTGCTGACAGTAAGAGAGAGGCTGAATGTTCAGGTGGAATGCTCTGACAGGATTAAGATTTGAAAACACAACATCTAGCAACTTCTTTGATGGTAATACAGAATATGAGGATAAAGCAGTCCATTCCAGACTGGTAGATATATGACCAGAAATGAATTATACACATGGAACCTTCTATGGAACAGAATATGCATGTATCATGCATAATGTATGGACAAAGAAGCCATCATTTGTGCACAGCTTGTTGATAGTTTGGGAGCATCTAAATTGGCAGAGCCAAATGTTGTGCTGGTTACAACACACAACTAAATGAATCCATTGATATCGCATGGACAGCATGCAAGTGCAGAAACCGGCTGTTGATGGGGATGTTAGATGGTAGCAGATAGACATCACTGACTTGTTACTTCCAAGTTTGTGAAGTCTATGGATTTTATATCCATTCATAGTTCCACTGCATTCTTTTCAAAGTTTGCAGGATCATCAAATTAGTTTACTGATAATACATGTTAGGTTTATGACACTATAAAATAGCTGAGTTATTCTTATTATTCTTATTAAGGGGTCTATTATTGTTAGTTTTAACTGGACCTGCATATTAAAATATTTCTGATTTGCCACATTGGAGATTTTCTAAGGATACATCAGTATCTCATGTCTGGCCAGGGATAAAAGTTTATAGCACTGAAAACCTGTTTATGTTTGAAAACATTTTAAGTAGAACATTTCTTTAGGACCACGATTTTGAGGCTCACATAATGTTATCATTTGGTAGACTACTAAACAGTAACATATTCCTGTAGCCTGATGAGGAATGATAAATATTATATGAACAATGACTACTATTAGTGCCCATTTTGTGGGCTCTAGCAAGAAAATGGTTGTTATGTGTTATATTCAGACATAAGATCAAAATATTTAATGTGTATGCTTCCTCATCTACAGCACCGCTGGCCAATCAGTTTGGCAGGCATTACACAAGGCAAGCCCAGCACCCTCCCCAAGTGCCACTCCAATCCCCTTCCCCTGCCTGATTTATTGTTCTCCTTTCTGCCCTCTGCCTTATACTCCCTGCCTAATATGTTGCTTTGCTTTCTGCTGTCTGCCCTGTGCTCCCGGCCTGATCTGCTGTTCTTCTTTCTGCTGTCTGATGTATCTGCTGCTGTTCTCCACTCTTCCTTCCTGATCTGCTGTATGCTACACAGAATCTGCCTATGTCACTTATGGCACATGTGTGGCAGATTGCCCACTCCGATCTAGTGGGTAGAGTCATTTGTTACAAACTTCAATGAAATGGGGTGCTATAAACAGCTCTAATTATGTACTAAAGCATCTAACATTGTTATTGTTCTCTATATTATGGATTTTTAACTTTTTAACATCCAGATGGTTTGTCAATTAACTTTATCAGTGATACTGAATTGAAAAATGATTCCTAGATTCTGCCATACAGTATTAAACCATAAAAAATAAGATTGTAGTTCTCACAGATATTAAGAGAAAAAGAACTTCACATTTTTATGAACTTACGTGATATAGTGGAACAGTGTTGCTCTCAGCCAGTGAGAAATTCAGGACATCTTGCTGCCCAGGTTCAAGCCTAACGTTAACAGTAGATGTCAGCATAGATGGGCTAATTGGATAGTTTGGGCTGCCTGTGTTTTTGCCCTTTTTTCTTGACCTGCGGCCTGTGTCCCTTTTGTTGTCTTTCTGTGTCAAAGGCTCTTCCTGGATCACTAAAATCTTGTCATCACTTAAGTATCGCAGGAGTGAATTCTCAGAGTCAGTTGTTGGAGGAAGAAGAAAAGAAATATGAATAAGACTAAACAAAACATAAAACAAGGCTTTGCTTTTATACTTTTAAATGCTTGTGTACATTTATGTGCACAAATAAAACCTTCTTTCCTGAAACTGTTTGTTATGAATAATAAGATATTATAGTTAAAAAAGGGACCACAACCTACAGTGGTTTGTTTAAGTAGGTACTGTCCAAAGTATATTTATTAAGATGTAAGAAATGAAATACTGATTTCTCAGTTTTCACAGCCCTTTCATCTAAAGTGTTTGCTGTTCAGAAAAGTAGTCCCTATTAAATTATCTTGAATACAGGGGACCATTTGAAGCTAGTATTTGGGATAACTACAGATACAAAATAAGCATATATATATATTAACTTTGAGGAAGATGGAGGCAGGATCTATTTATTCTGCTGTTTCATTTATTGCATGCTGCCAAAAAAAAGTTTAGGCAAGTTTCTTTGAGTAGATGTGATATCTTTTATTAGACCAACTGAGTTAGTCTAATAAAAGATATTGAATCAGTGTTAGATAAAAGTTCCAAAAAGCCCTTCTGAAGAGGCCAATCTATACAGACAATGGGGATCTGGGTCAAACTAATGCAATGCCTCTTCTGGTAAAGTGCTGTTTTTTTTCTTTTTCACACCTGTCAGCAGCCATGGTTTTTAAGCTGAGCAATAAGCAGAGAACAGTTTCTTTGGGACAAGCAGCTTAGGTGTGGGACTGCCTTGAGGAGGCTTTTTTCTGTGTTAGTGACTTAGGGTGGCTGATTGGTGTTAGAGTGTTTGCATAGTGCCTGGGGTGTGTGTTTGGGATTTTCTCCCCCACTTTTCCCCCTGTGGTGTGTGCTGGAATTTTTTTTTCCTTTTCTCTCTCTCCCCTTTTCTTCTCCCCTTCTCCTGCCCCTCTGGAGTAACTGGGTGACAGGGCTTGCTTTGGGTGGGGCTGGGTTAGTTAATAGTGGAGTGGAGCTAGGATAAGCAGCCTTAAAAAAAGGCAGCCCCCCATGAACTGTGAGAGCAGTAAACAGAAGGAATTTGCCTGCAGGGGGGGCCAGAGAGCAGGAGACTGTGTGTGTGTGTGTGTGTGTGTGTGTGTGTGTGTGTGCACGCGCGCGCATACGCAAGGGCCCTGGGGGTTGCTGTGTAGGTTCTTGTTGCATGTCTTTTTTCCCTTCTCTCCCTCCTCTTTTTTTCATCTTATGGTACTGAAGAACAGTGGATTGAGTTTAGCAACTGTTTTCAAACAGTCTGTGATGGCATTGCTAGGAAAAGCAGAGGAGAGGACATCTGCCAGCATGAGATAGAGGAGTCAGCTGCTTACAGAGCAGAGAGTACATAGTCCAAAGGACAGGGTCTCCAGGACCTTTGCATGAAGAGAAGAGTGATGGTGTTTGGTGACTCCTTTTGGTGGGAGACAGAAACTCCAATTTATCATCCAGATTTGGGGGCCTGGGAGGTATGCTGCCTGCCTAAAGCCAAATTCAAGATGTCACAGAGAGACTACCGTAACTCACCCATCCTTCAGACCACTTCTTCTTCCTGCCAGGAACAACACTGAGCAGATCAGAGGTGACTATGAAACTCTTGGTAGGAGGATTAAGGAGCTTGGAGCATAAGTGGCATTCTCATTCATTCTTCCCATGGCATGCAAGGGTCCAGGCAAATATCATCATATTCGGGAAATGAACATGTGGCTGAGACAATAGGATTTACGTGAAGACTGGCTTCTTTGACAATGGCCGGATGTTCTTGGGAGAAGGACTGCAATCAAAAGATGAGATTCATCTGACAAGAATGGGGAAGAGTGTCTTTGGGCGTCATCTGGCTAATCTAATAAGGAGGGTTTTAAACTAGGTTCCGTGGGGAATAGCGATGAAAACCTTCTAGCAACAAAGTACACAGTCCAGAGGGGAAGGACTCAAAGAAGCAGTTTAACTCTGGAGAAGGGTTAGAGAGCTACAGGAGTGCAACAAGTGGTGGAAAAGGGAAGCAAGTGGGTCAAACTGCAAAATATATCTGATGCATGTATACAAATGCAAGAAGTATGGGAAATAAACAAGATAAGCTGGAAGCCGAAGCTTGGAAAAAAAACTATGATCTGACTGGCGTCACAGAGATCTGGTAGAACATGTCTTATGACTGGAATGTCAACATCGAAGGTTACACTTATTTTGGAAAGACAGGGTTGCGAGCAAATGTGGTGGTGTTACTTTGTATGTCAAAAACACAAACATTTGCTTCCTGGTTCAGGAGCAAGACGACAGCAAAGTAGAATGCATTTGGGTGAAGATGAAAGGTGAAAGATGTGGATCTGATATAATGGTGGGGATTTATTATAGGGCCCCAAATCCCTTCCAGCAGGTACAAATCTATCCAAAAGCTATGAGATGGTACTGATGGAAAATTTTGATTTTCTCAACATCTACTGGAAGAACAATGCAGCCAAACATAAAAATTTCCACTGGTGTGGAAAACAACTTTCTGTTCTAAAACATGTAGGACGCAACTAGCGGAGCATTTATCTTGGATCTTGTCCTGACCAACAGGGAAGAACTGGTAGAGGATGTGAAGGTGATGGGTTAACTTTGGAGGAATTGATCATGATATGATTGAATTCCAGATCTAAAGACAGAGAAAGCATAAGGTCAGCAAAATTAGGATGTTAGATTTCAAAAAAGCGGATTTAAGCTGACTCAAGTTGTTAATAGCCAGGGTGTCATGGCATTATAGACTGAAGGATAAATGTGCCTAGGAGGGTGGGGAGCTTCTAAAGAGAACAGTATTGGAAGTCCAACAAGAAATTGTCATGATGGAATCACAAGAAGAACGACAAGAGACCAACATGGCTGCATAAGGAGCTTCTAAAATACCTCAAATGCAAAAGGAAAGCATACAGGAAATGGAAGAATGAGCAGGTCACCAAGGAAGCATATCAGAAAACAGCAAGAACCTGCAGGGACAATGTCAGGAAGGAGAAGATGAAAAACTAGCTGCACCTGGCGAAGGAGGTTAAGGACAACAAGAACGGGTTCTATAAGTATGTTGGACAGAAGCGAAGGACCAAGGAAGCTGTGGGGCTTCTGTTAACAAGCTGGGGGGGGCAGACTCCTAACTAAAGATACAAAGAAGGCAGATCTTCTCAATAGCTGCTTTGCCTCAGTCTTCACACACACACGCGCGTGCATGCGCGCGCGCACACACACACACACACACACACACACACACACACACAACGAGGTAGCCAGTCACATAATATGGATTATCTGGATAAGGAAGGGGACAGGTTGAGGGATGAGATAACAAAAGAGACTGTCAGAGAGCTTTTGATAGGTCTGAATGAATTCATGTCAGCCAGGCTGAATGAACTCTATCTCAGGATACAGAAGAAACTGGCAGAGGAGATCTTGGAGCCCTTGGGAATGATCTTCATGAAATCATGGGACATGGGCTAGGCATCAGAGCACTGGAAAAGGCTAACATAATGCCTGTCTTTAAAAAAGGCAAACACAAGGACCCAGGGAGCTACTGACCTCACCTCAATACCTGGAAATTTACTGGAACATATCCTAAGGAAGGTCATTTGCAAGCATCTGGAGGAGAAAAGGCTGATCACAAGCAACCAGCATGGATTTATGAAAGACAAATCATGTCAGACAAACTTAATCTCCTTCTGGTTGAGCCAGGTGTGTTCAGCTTCAGAAAGGTGCTGAAGTGGGGACATGATAGCAGTCTTCAAATAGGTGAAGGGCTGCCATAAAGAAGAGGGAAAGCACCTTTTTGCTCTTGCTGCATAGAGAAGGATGTAGACCTATAATCTGCAGTTGTAGCAAAGTTTAGATTGGATATCAGGAAAAACTTCTTCACTGTTAGAATAGTGAGGCAGTGGAATAGACTGCCTAGGAAGGTTGAGGACTCTCCATCACTGAAGTGTTCAAAAAGTTGGACAGGCACTGGTCAAGGATGGTCTAGACATAGCTATGCCTGTGTTCCATAATGGATATTTCTCTATGCTTCTAGGCTCTGCCCAGCTTTCTGCTACAAGCATCAGGGTGTTTTAAGCTTCTCTCAGAGGCATTGGGTGTTGGGTAGAGCCTGGGGATTTTGACTGGGGTGTATCAATGCTCCTGCTGGGATTAGAACTGAAGTCTCTTGGTTAGAGGGTCTCACCCCTCCGCTCAAGGTCAGACTGATCACCATATTTGGAGTAAGGAATTAATTTTACCCTATGGTCAGATTCATACAAATTGTGAGGGGTTTTGCCTTCCTCAACAGCGGGGTGTGGCCCCCTTCCTGGGATCTCTTGAGCATATATTGATATTTCATAGAAGCAGAACATTGCATCTATGTAATGTTTTCATGGTCCCCCATGGTTTCCTTGCTTTACCTGTGGCAGTTTAGGGTGTTAGGTCTGTGTTGTGCCAGGGTTGATGGTAGTCTTATGTAAGAGGGATGATCCTCCCTCAGGCAGGAGGTTGGACTAGACACTGGTTCTCAACCATTTTGGACTCAAGGTCTTTCTCAATTTTGACCTGAATCCCCCTGGCCTCACTGGTGCCCCTCACTTCTGATCCATAGCCCCCTGATGCTGCTGGTGCCCCACATTCCCAACCTACAGCCCCCTACTCCTTCAGCCCTGCTGGTGCCCCTCACTCCCTACCTCCAGTCCCATGGCCCTGCCAGTGCTGACCCAGTCAGTGCCACAGGCCACCTCTCAGACCACCTGTGCTGCCCCTCATCCCACCTCCCCTCTGGTGGTAGGAGGAGGTGAGGGAAGCACCATTATTTCTGCTGCTGGTGGTGCAGCTGGCATGGGGGTCCCAGTGGCAGCACTGGCAATGAGTCTCATCACCCCGCTCCACCCTCCCATGCTGGGTCCCACTGGCTGGTCCAGCCAAGCTGCAGCTTTGTGCCCACTGTGGATATAGAAATTGGAGAGGGGAGTATGTGTCTCCCCACCCCCTGATGCATTGCCTATGCCCACCCAACTTACCTGCAGGGAGCTGCAGGAGCTGCTTTCTACCACTGCCAGGTTGTCACATGCATGTGTGCACACACACACATGCAAGTGGTCACCCATGCTGTATCAGCCTCCTCCTACTCCCCCCGGCTCCAAGCAGCTCCTTGCAGGCTGGAATGTTTCCAGTCTATAAAAGGAAAACCATGGTTTCCTGCGTTTTTCTCCTTTAAAGGAGAAAACCCACATTTTTTTCATGAACCTGGCAGCAGTGTTGGTGGGCTCAGTCCAGGCATGGGCTGCTCTTGTTCATGATTGCACTAGAACTGCAGCCCTTGCAGAGCCCCTGAAACCTGCTTGCAGGCCTCCAGGGGGCCACAGACCCCCTAGTTGAGAACCAGTGGATTAGATGACCTCTGGAGGTCCCTTTGAATTGTGCTTCTCTATTATTCTATGAGTCTTTAACTTTTTTTTATTGCCTTTATTACTTTGGAACACTCATGAGGGTTTGGGGTGGGGGTTATGTTTTGCCTATGGAAATATATTTTGAGTTAAAGGATACTATTTCCCTAAAGAAAAAACAAATTCAAAGTAAAGCAAATTTTCCATTCTTTAAAAGTGAGGAATTCTGATGATTCTTTTGAAGGTTTGTATGACAGACAGATCAAAATTACTACCCAAGAAAGATTCTAACATAGTGATCATGAAGACCTCAACCTGCAAACTGATGGGGAAAATTTTTAAAGAGTTACCTTAAATTTGCCAAAGTATCATTTTGCTGTTGAAAAATGTTTATTTATTAAAAGCTAAATATTTTGTAAAATATGTTGATTTCAACATGTTTGGCATGAACTAAAACCAATTTTTAATAAATTTGAAACATTTAGTTTTTGTCTTTTCAGAATGATTTATCATTTGATATTATTTTGTTTCCTTTTATAATTTCTTCTATTATGTAACAATTTGAAAAAGGCTAATTCACAACTACATTTTAATTTAATTAAAATAACCAGATACTAAACCTTTTCTTGAATATTGTTCCATGAGAATATATTTGCTTTGGTTCAGAACTCAAACATTTAAAAGCAAATGTTCTCATCAAGGTATACTGTTTTGTAAAGGCATGGATCATTGCATTTCGACCCACAGTGATGACTAATTATTATGGTAGATTAATTATTATTACTATTAAGCTAACAGTTGTTAGAGCACCCTGACAGATGTTGGAGGGATGCAGATTCAAACCCCATTGAAGGGTGGGGGGAGAGGGGGGACACTAGAAACTGGGGCTCTTGATTCCTGGACAAGGGCCTTAACCTCCTGAGTTACTGGTGCTAAAACATGGGAGCTTAACCAAGAACTAAAATCCTAGCTGTTGCTCCATTGGTGGATCTACAGTTTTGAAAAAGAGCTAAAAAGTTTGCAAGGCTATTAAATACAAGTATAGAGACAAGGATTAGCTAGCGGGCAGCAAAATTGCCAAAAAAAGGTTTGATTGATTAGTGGACCATCAAGACTATTAAAAAGGAAAGACTATTGTTAACACTGGTGAATGAAGAACAATAAGCTATTAAATCAACTGACTCCCTCACCTGCCTGAATAGAACTGCCACTGTTCTTGCTGGGCCTGTGGTTTTGAAGCAGAAAAATCAATTTCCCTGTGTAAGATATCCCAATTTGTGTGTGTGAATGGTATGTGAAAAAATAATGTATTTCATGTTGTACTGGAAAGGAATTGCTTTAGCTAATCTGAGGACAAGGATAATGATTGCCTATTGCATATTGGGAGAAAAGATTTTCAAAGTTGAATGCTTAAATTTAGGCAATAAAATCTATATAAAGAAACCTAAATAACAAGTCTGATTTTCATAAGATGTGAAACACCTGCAGCATCCAGTTTCACATATCCATGCACAGGCACCTCTTTATGAGATACAGCTAAATTGTACGTTCTTCAGAGAAGAGACCCTTTCTTTTGTTTGCCAGTTAAATGCCATGGCAATGTATAAACAACAACTATTCCCCACATTATTAAATTGCAAGGTTTTGCAGACACCAGAAAGGGAAGCAAACATACATCATCCTGGAAAAGGAAGAATTGACAAAATGAGCTAAAAACAGATTAAAAATAGCATCTTTTTATTCTAGACAGTCTATCTACTCAATTCAAGTTGTCTTTTGTATCAATATGAGTGTCTAAACTACAGCTAGTCAGAAAATGTTTACTGAACTGTTTTTAAAAATTTAAGTGCATTATTTTTTCCAAGATTTTATTTGGAAAAGACAAAATAAATCAATTGGATAAGGTATCAATTTCCTGTTTTGACATTTTTTGGAGCAGACCATTCCAATTTTTTATTAAAATTAAGTGCAATTTATTTTATTTTAACTTTTAAAATGGTTTTACTATAAAAGGTTGATAACAATAAATGACACATTAATGATAGTTTTGATATCATGGAATTATTAAGAGGAGACTTCTAAAGGTTTTCCAATAGTTGCAGCAGAGGCCCCAGCCAAGCAGGCTTCCATGTATATCTTTGAGAGATGACTATTTCATTTTGCATGCAATATCAACAGCCTTGAGAGGCGTGGTACAGTTAGTACATTTCCTCTACTCCCTACCAAAGGTGAATTTATACCTATGATTTAGACAGAAGCAATTTGTTTTACCTTTTGCACTTTTCCTATCACAACCCTTCTTTCCAGAGTTTTATCATACATTTTTGGAAATCCAAATTTTCAGTGAAACGTGAAGTTTGAACACTCAGGGAATGCTAGACAAGATAACCTCCTGGAGTTCCCTCTAGTTTAATTTTTCTGTGATTCTATATGCTTCTCCATGCTTATTAATACCAGAACAGGTTTCTGTGATGCTCTTTTTCATGTTCTTAAATGACAGAGAGATAAAATCTTGAAGAACAGGACATAAGAAAGCACTCACCTCGGCTTCCTCTCTTGTACACATTTTGTTCTTTTGACTCCCCTATCCAGCTGTACTCTGTAGGCATAGAAACAGGCCTCAAGTCACCTGGAAACAATCCAAGAAGTAGCAATATAATTTTTGCAAGTCACAAGTAAAGGATTGTTGCATGGTGGAATAATTAATGCCTATAAGTTAGTTAGAAAAATAACTTTTCAGCATAATTTGTTTTATTAGCATCCATTTATTATTAATGTTGAAGTCCCCAGAAGCTATTAAATATCATGGTTCAGATTCTGTTTTTCATTACCCCAGTTTACGTGTTAACTTTATGGATTCCAGTGGAATTGCTCCTCATTGTTATTATTATTAGATCTTTACCCAAGTGGTTTTCAATGCAAGGTTTTCTAACTCAGCATGTAGTTGCTTTTGGATAAAGAAACTAAAGTTTACTAAACTGGTGAACATTCCTAGATAAAATTAGAAAGCTCACTGGTATGTACACAACATTGCAGATCCCTCAGTCTAAAAAGAGTAACATACATCTGATCTGGAAAATATATTTTGGGTGACAAGGACATCTTTTACCCACAAATAAAATTGACTAACTGTAAATGCCTTAAGGAAAATAAAGAACACTTAATTTTTAAAAATCCCCAAATATTAAGAAATTATGGTTTTTATTAATATTGTCTTTCATGTAATTCCTCCACTACAGTAAAAATAATATATGCATTTACTTCATTCTTTGTTACAGAATCAGCAGAATGGCTACAGTTTAATAGCAGGGCTATTAAACTGGGAATATTGTAAAACTAACTATATGAAATTATTTTTCTGACCTTGTCAGTGTGCATCATAATCACTGAACATATAAAACAATCCTCTAAATCATACATCAACTCCTTGCTTTCAATACACAGAAAAAAAAGCTTTCCAAAAGCTAAGATGAGCCTAATTTTGTAGTATAGTTGTTTAGGACTACAGTTATTTTCTGACACACTAGATATTGTCCAAAAATCCCATTCCTAAAATAGTTACAAAACTAAAAAAGGTAGATGTACCCAACAGTATATTTTCCATTAGATACTTTCTTCAGCTTTATTACTGAAAACAAAGCATTTTGCTTGTGAAACTACTGTGATGATTAAGTTTTTTTATTCCTTAATTTTTCAGGATAGATTTCATAGATTTCATAGACATTAGGGCTGGAAAGGACTTCAGAAGATCGAGTCCAGCCCCCCACCCAAAGGGCAGGAAGTCAGCTGGGGTCATAGGATCCCAGCAAGATAAGCATCCAATTTACTCTTGAAGGTGTTGAATGTAGGTGCTTGAACCTCATCCGATGGCAAGCTGTTCCAGACCTTGGGGGCTCAGACAGTAAAGAAATTCTTCCTTATGTCCAGCCTGAAACGGTCTTGCAGTAGTTTATAACTGTTTGACCTCATCATCCCTTGGGGTGTTCTGGTGAACAAACGTTCCCCCAGATACTGGTGGTCACCCCTGATAAACTTATAGGTGGCCATCAGATCACCCCTGAGCCTGCGCTTTTCCAGGCTAAAGAGCCCCAGGGCTCTCAGCCTGTCATCGTAGGGTCTGCTTCCCTGACCTCTGATCATGTGCGTGGCTCTTCTCTGGACTCTCTCAAGCTTCTCCACATCCGTTTTGAATTGTGGAGCCCAAAACTGAACGCAGTACTCCAGCTGCGGCCTCACCAAGGCTGAGTACAAGGGGAGAACGATGTCCCGGGATTTGCTTGAGAAGCATCTATGGATGCAAGCCAGCGTTTTGGTCGCTTTACTAGCCGCAGCATCACGTTGG